TCTTCCTCAGTTGGGGTTCAGTTAAACACTTTCAGGATCAGTGGGACACACACTTAAGCCTTAACAAAGGGTTATCTCTATTTGTATGGACAGTGTTGCTGGTAATGTTTGACAATGGGGTAAAACTTATATTAGCCTGAGACTATGACAAATGTTCAGTATTCAAAGTTAATCCAGAACAATGCATCTCATCTATACTACTCTTCTGTGGGTGATGGATGAGCAATTTCATTTTCAAAATTGATAACAATGTTTTCTTTGTTAATTAATTGAATGGGTGGTAGGTAGAAGGGAGATTAGAACCTTGATTTCATCTATTTAGGAAACTTTCTATAATTCCTTAATGTGGCAGGAGCCTGACTACTTTTAATATTCATGTTTTTTTTTTCTTCTAGATACTCATTAAGCCAGTTATTTGAAGTCATTTTTATATTAATTTTAAACTCAAGCCTCTGGTGACTAATTTTGAGTGCTGCCATTAAAGTCACAGCCCAGGATAAAGTCAATTGAAACCTAGAATGAAAAATATAACTAGCAGATTGTAAAAACTGGAAACTCAGTAATTTTTTTAAAGTACTTCACATCATCTTGAGAGAGTAGTGTCAGAATTTTAACTTAAGCTGAGAATAAGCTGATGTTGTCAAGGAATGCTATTGAAAATCCCCAAAAATGAATTTTAAATTCTTTCAAGGAAGTGAAAAAAATATAGGATTGATATGAAGGATGGGTGAAAAAAATCCATAATGACAGAAGATAGAACAATTTAAGTTTTCCCTACCTTTCCCTCCAAAGTTTGGTCTTCTCTGAAGAGGTCTAGGACTTTGGGATGCTCCTGGAACCCCAAGATCATGGCTCCAGGCCCTGCCTGAAAGAATTCAACTCAAATCTTCTTACAGCCAGAGAAAAAGTTTTATTAGCGATAGATCACATAGTCCAGGTGACGCTGGTACAGACCAGTGGGCATGAGAGAGTTCCGGCCTTTGGGGCGTGAGATTCTCAGCGTCTGAATGTGGGCCAGGGTAGATCTTATATACTAAAGTGATTTTGGGTAGGGGTCTAGGAAAATGGTCTGGGAAAAGGGTCTGGGTGAGAATTCCTATTGGAATGTCTTAGAGATTGAATAGACAATGGAAATAGATAATGAAGGAACTGAAAGGCATCTGAATTAGATCAAAAAGGTGGGGCTAGGGCTTTCAAAGGGAGATGGGGGGGCTGGGGCCTATAGATAAATGGGAGTCAGATTCCCTTTGTGTCAAGGGGTGAAGACCTTGGCTTGGGCCACACCCCATCATTCTCCTCCTGGGAGAAGAGTCTTCTGATTGTGAATTAAAATGGTTAATAGAAAGTTGAAACTCAAGAAAAATCAGGAGATACTAAGAGAGAATATCATTTGCCCTCAATTATTTCTAATTGCCAGGCTCAAATGAACTACATCTCAAAGTACTCAAAATAGTAGAAGTAATTGTTGTATTCCTGCCTCTGATATTAAAAAAAAAAAGTTACAGCACAAAGATGTTGAAGTACTTGAGATAGATAAAAGAAGGCCCAATATTTTAAAAGGAAAGGCTTCAAACCATAGACAACGAATTGTCCTCAGTTCCTGGCAATATCCTTATAAAGGGATTATAGCTATTAAAGGGATGCTTTGTGAGCGCTTAGAAAGAGAAGTGGTGATCACTAAGAGTCAACATGACTGAGACATCAAGAACATATTAAAGTAAAATAACCTGCTTTAAATGATCATTACACAGGCAGAAAAGGGGAAAAGCATAAATATAACTGCATCTCTGTAAGACACTTGATAAAGGCTTTCATGAAATCATGATAATTACATAAACATGCAACAGTTTGGATGGTCAAAACCAAGGACTTATTTTAATGAATCATTGTTGACTTAGAGTCAGCTCTCTGCTGGAATGCACAGGAATATGTCTTTAACCTGTTCTGTTCCATATATTATCAATGACTCAGTAAAAATTGAGATGATGTCCTTATAGGTCTGTGGGTGAATCAACACAGGATGACAGTCATGATCCAAAAAGACCATATTAATCTGAAATAATAGATCAAAATAAATAGGCTGAAATATAAATGACAATTTCAAAGATTTGCAGTGTTTCAAATACCTAACACAAGTGTAGGATGGGAAAGACATGTCTTAGCACATGACCATATCTGTGGGTTTTAATGTACAACAGGTCGATTATTAGCTTATGGAGTAACATGAGAGCCAGAATAGCTAATGCAATTTTAGATTTCATAAAGAGAAGAATACTATATATTATTACATAGTCCCACTGTATTCTTCCCTGGTTGGGTCATATTTGGAGTATTGTGATTGGCTCTGTCACATTTATTAAAGAAATCAACAAAATGGCTTACATCTAGAGTAGCATCATAAAGTTGTGAACTTAAATCTGGAAAGGACCTTAAAGGACATTTAATTCAGCCCTGTCATCTTACAATTTAGGAAACTGAGGTTCCAAGATGGGAAGTGTCCTGTTAAATATTATTCTAGATAGTTAATGGCAGAGCCAGAAAATGACCTGAAGTTCTCTACATAAATGTTCAGCCCTCTTTCCACTATGCCACAGGACAACCCAGATAGTGAAAGGTCTGGAAAATGCAACATGACTATTGGTTAAATGAATTTGGAATATTTAGCATGGAACTGAAAGACTTGGGAGGGGGTGGTGGCTGATAACTCATCAAATAATAATTGTCTTCAAGTATTTAGATGATTGTGTGGTGAAGGCTTTGGGGTTTTTTCCTGCTTGTCACCCCATTGACAGAAATAAGAGGAAGGAGGAAAGTTGTAGAGGCAGATATAAGATTATTATAGGGAAAACTTTAAAAAATAAGAGCAATCAAAAAAGTATAATCAGCTGCCTTTATTGATAGTGAGTTCCCTGTCACTAGAGGGCTTCAAGAAAAGCCTAGATGAACACTTGTCAGGGTAGGAATGAGTAATATTCTTGTTCAGGTATAGAACTAGATGGTCTTTGAAGTTCCTTGTATCTCTACTATATTATCAGTAAAAATCATGTTAAAAATAAGCATTATTTCATATTCACTAGCACATTATCATAATCCTTCCTCTCAAAAGCATAGCTATTAAAATTGCCCAAATTATCAAATAATGAAAATGTATGATCCAAAAATGGGAGAGGTGAGATATGAGTAAGATTGAGACTATGGTGGGAAGGTTGGCTGTGGTTTGTTAGCAAATGACTTCCACTTCATTATTCTGGGGCAGCTCAAGTGCAAAGCAGCATTTTAGCTCTAGGGAGTCACTGCTGCAGGCATTAAGAAGAGGAAATGAAGATTTCTTTTCCAAATTAAGTTGTCAAGAAAGCTCATTTACACCACACAGTGATTGTATGTGGGTGAGAAGATGATGGTGATTTATAATGATACAGACTGGAAAAGCTGTTCCAAGGAGAGAAATCTATAACAAAACCTACTTGGGAGGCTTAACCAGAACCCTGGTTGTCTACAGAAACAAGGTTTGCTATCCTCAGAAATTTCTGATCACCTTACAGTGACTGTGGAAAAGGGGAAGATCAGTTTATATAAGATTCATCATTTCACAAGGGCTAGATACTACTATGACAGATGCCATCATAAAAAAGTCCATATAATTTGGTCATGCTAGTAAAGGCATTTGGAGCTCTGGTGACACACTGTCTAAAGATTATTAGACTTTTAGAAATTCTAGTAATTTTAAGACTTAAGATCTGATCCCCCTTTGAATAATTGATGTTTTATTGTTTCATCTCAAAATTGCAGACGATGTCAGTGCCTCAATTTTGTATTTATGCAACAAATTTGGTCAAAATCAGTCAACTTTATAATCTATTATGGAAAAATTCACAAAATGTCAATCTATCAAATATAAAAAGAGATCTAGCTTAATTCATCCAAAGATTTCTTTTTTTATGTGGAATTTTTCCATAAATAGTTGAAGTTGTACTCTTTGGTTGGAATGCTATTAAACAGTGAAAATATGTAAAAAATATGATTCCTTACTAGAAATCATTCAATTTCATTTAAAAATTATTTGATTACTGCCCCTAATTTTGGAGCACAATTCAAATATTGGACATAAAAAAAGATGCATTTTCTTTCCCCCCCCCCACTTTTTAACGTCTCAGTACATGAAAGCAAATACTGACTCAAAGTTTATGGTTGTTTTTTGTCCTACAAAATCATTAGTGATTAGTTAATGCATTCATTTGACTAGAAAATCCATGAGGATATTTTCATGTATTATTTGCTATTAATTTTACCCTTTATTCTACATCATATTTAAGGTAAAAGTCTCTTAATACAAATGAATATAAGGATGAGGTAGCCACATTTTATGGGCAATGGAATTTTATCTGTTTATACAAATATCTACACTATTTTCCATAGAAGTTAACTCAGCTGCAGTGTTGAAATGTTTGTCAAATGGTATAAAACCTGGAAGACATAAAATGACAGTATATGAACATGATTGAATCTGGTTTGAAATATTTTACTTCTTTTTATAAACTTGGACAACCTTTACAACTCCTCCCTCTTGCCGTGCTTATAAACACAATATATATTTAATCATCAAACTTTCTTTTTATAAATATTCCTATATTCTAGGAATATATAACTAATATTTGTTTTCTTTTGTATCACTGGATTAAAGAGTTTAGTGCTATTTTGTTAACAGATTTATTTGACAAACTAGAATACACTTAATTGTTCCCTAGTTATTAGAATCTTTGTGAACTCATTTAAAACATATAATACAAATTGGGTAATAAACTATATTAAGGTTTGTACAAATAATTTATGTTTTGGTTTGTACATATTTTCAGAAACTATATATATATATATGTATATATGTATACATACATACATACATGTATGTATATATATGTATATATGTATACATATATGTGTATATACATATATGTGTATATACATACATACATACATACATACATATATATATATATATATATATTTAATGCTTACAGAACTAGGATTACCTAAAGCATTTTTCCCCAAAAAAGTAAATACTATGTAAACTATAAAGAGTGCTGTTTGTTTTCCTGTTAACACTCAATATGGCATAATCAAGACCAGCTTCTATCTGGGCATCAATGGCAAGGACAACCATTAAAAAGATAGATCATTTTGAATAACTACAATTACATAAACCAGAAATGACTGGTTTTGAAAAAATAGTAATAATTAGAAACAATAGACAGTAAAGAGTTTTAGGTAGAATTCAAATTGAATTAATAACATACTTCAAAATAGAAAAACTATTTCCTTATTATTGGTGGGGGGTTTTATTTCCTGTTCTTAATCAGAAGGGTTAACATGAATCAAATATAACTTTCAGCATAAGATTTGATATTTTGAGATGCATAAAAGTTGGCCCACTAAATCATGTCATTTTAATGCTTTTGATTTCATTCATTGTGGGGAAAAGCTTTTTTTTTGGTAGTGTAGGTGCTAAACAAATACAAAAATGCCATGTGATATAATTATAAAGTTGTGGTTCACTCTGAGGTGACAAGTTAATCATTTTGATGCATAAAAATTAAATCATGTGTGAACAAAATCAACAGAAGATCAAAGAGTTAACATGATATACGGAAAGGTGGAATGTTGCTTTGATAGGCAATTATCTATTTTCATATATAATCGATTTTGAAAGTTATGAATGGCATATTAACACACCTTTTCCACAAAGGAGACATCTTACTCTAACAAAAGAATGCAAATCATGGAAACCAACAACTGATATGTTATTTAGAAATGTGCATTATCATATATTTGTTACAACACACATTTCAGAACCTTGTCTTGCCACAAAGTACCACTTAGGGTTTTTTTGTAGAATACAGAAATTTCACCTAAACAAAGATCGGGTTCCATAACCAAATGGAAAGAAATACTGATGAAACAGTTTCTTGTCAGGGAATCGCAGTGACTGTCAGATATACTATTATCACAGCTTTTTCCTAATCTAGTTTCGGGATTCCATTTCAAGTAAAAGAACCTTTCGTTAGGAAAATCAGGAATTCAGGAATTTGGAAATTTTCTAATTCAAGATAAATATAAAATATGAATAATTAATTTAATGCTACTGTATTTCAATAAACTAATTTAATAGGTATTTTTTTATTGACCAATGGAGCCTGATGAGAGGCTGTGGATAATCAATGTGTATATATTAGCTAATATGAATATTATATGATACCTATCCAGTTAAAAATTGAATAAAATAGTATATTATAGGCTCTATATTACTTTGCATTGCCCTTTGCTGAGACTGGCTATTTGCTTTGAATTCAACTTTAGGACTCAGGCAATGGAGACAGAAAGGGGACATACATATTAATGGCTATGGAATAGAAAATGAAAATCAACTTTCATGTGGCTGCTTACATTTTCTACATTTGTTTGTAATATTTTTGCATTTATTAACTTAGGTAATCAATTTAGGAAAAGTGTATTATAAAGGAAGATCACAATACCCATGAAAATTATTTCTCTGATGAGTCTCACTTGCTATTTTTGGTGGATCCAAATCTATCTACTGAGTAATAGCCATTTCAGATCTAGCTCAATTCCCATTCCAACAGTCCCTCAGAGAAAGCCCAGTGACAGTCAGATGGAAGTACTAGATGAAGCATTAGGTTTTCTGGGAAATATCTCTCCTCCCTTCAACACTTACTATTTTAAATGGAGTCTATTACCATTGGAAACACCTGATTCTGTCTTTAAATGAACTTTTCTTTTTTAGTTTATTCTCAGTCCTAAGTTAAATTTATTATGAAAGCACATTGCCCATCAATCAAAACATCTTGACACTGATAGTTTGTTTCTCGTTTATATGAAATATGAATAAATATTTATGCACATATGTATGCTTCCAAATGTACATATATATGTATGTATATATATCCAGATCCAGCAGTACATCTAAGCAGACATATATATTTAAATAGCCACATGGAGCCATCAGACAATTGCCTTGGCATCACATGGAACAGCTCCTCCAAATTCCCAAAACATTTCCAAAATCCTTCATCCTTGACCCTTACACAGATGTAATGGGAGAAGGGGGAGAACCAAGCCAGACATCAAATCAATTTATTTTGAATCTTAAAGTATCTTCAACATTTTGGTTATACTGTTGTACAGTGGACAAACTGGCATTCAGCTTGAGGTTTCAACTTTTAACAGGTTTGAAATCAATGACTCTTCCCTGTACAGGAGACTGCATTCATCCATTTCCCAGATAGTCTCTCATATAAATAGGGGCAAAGCTGATATGAGGATTGCTTTTTTTAACCAAGCATGGGGCCATCTGGATGTTCCTTTATCAAAATACACCTTTGTGTGGCAGGTCATATCTGTTTTATTTAGATTAAAGGAGAGAAGAAGCTGGTTCTGTTGACTTTAAGGTGGTGCTTCAGTGTGTGTACAACCACAGGTGAACCAAAAGCATTGAAATGAACATCTGAGAAGGTCAAGAATTCACTTAGTAATGCAAAGAAATGATGTAATTTAGGACATTTGGTCAAATCACATCATCACAGCCTCCTCTTTTGTTTCTAGAAAAATCAGACCAAGTAGAAACTTTAAGTCCCTGAACGATTCCAGACTGTAAATCAAAGGTCCAAGAATCTCAGACCTTTGCTCTTAAATGCATCTGTGAAGATCATTTTGAAAGAACAGACAAATTTGTTCATTGGTTATCATTACTCTGATTTACAGGTATGTTTTTTGTCTTATTGATCAATCTAGCTTACTTATTTTTCAGCACCAAAAGAAAATAAATTAAGAAAAATGGGGAAAAGACAAAAATATTGAGTAAAAATACAAACAACACAAAACAAAATTGGTTATTCCAATCGTGCAAAATTTGCTTCTCTGAATAAAGCACTTCTTGACACAGTAACGTCCATAATATTCCCATCCCGCCCCTAACCCTCCCACCCAACCAGAAAAAAATACAGGACTTAGACTGAAGCCATTATTTTTTTTAAGGCTACACAAACACAAAAAAATTGCATTGCAGAACCCTTATCCAGGTGGTAGTTTCTTCTGCCCCTTTTTGTGAGTCCTTCAGCAAATCTTGAGATCTGAGTTACTTGTCTCATCAGGACAACAACAAAGCAAACAAACAAACAAAAAAAAGTCAATGATCCCAACAATAGAATTGGAAATTACAATCACAGGTACAAATTTCCCAGGTCAATAATTTCATTTCTCCTAAAACCACTGTCTTCTAAAACTAATGAGAGGAGCAGGTTCCAGAGGAATTGTCAATATTCAAAGTAAATATTAGAATTTTATGAGGAGATCATTCTTCTACTGCCATAGTCTGACTGGATGGTTGAACAAGTTTCATGTTCTGGCAAGTTCAGGGTATTATTAAGTGATGGATTTCTGGGTCCATACCACACCTTGGGCCCCACCCAGGGTGCCTGAATTTAGAGAGGAAAGACCAAGAAGCCAGAAAAGGTTGAATATTTCCATCCACCCATGAGGTTACCCCTTTCCAGTTTGAGGTGTACTTTGTCTTCTCTTTCCATGTGCAGCAAAACACCATTGCTAGCAGCTTCTCTGGTAACATCTTGGTCTCCGGCAAACGCTGAAATCACTGGGTAGCCATTTTGCATTAAACTGACCTAAAAAAAGCAAAGTTAGCAGCTGAGTTGCCTATCTCGTAAATGAGGGTAGGCTCTATATTGTCCTATTCTGTGGTGTCCTTCCCAGCCCACCTGCTCAGTTAGCCTCATTCATTTCAGGGGCACATTAGATGGAATGAAACATTCACACACTTCCTTACAAATGCTTCTCCTTTCCAGGATTAGCTATACCCAGAATGGAAAACAAACAAACAAACCAAAATAAACCCCAAAAAACAAAAACAAACAAAAAAAACCCAAACACAAACCTCTTCTCAAAAGAGAAGGGACAAGAGAATGATCAAATGCCACCCACCTGGATAGTTTGTCTGTTATAGACTTTGACCACATGGAAACTGAAACTATAAATCCCTTTCCTTGGTGCTACAAATATGCTGGAAGCAAGATCGAAATGGTTGCCAATATTTACTAATACCTAGAGAGGAGAAAAGAACAAAGCACCAAAAGCAAATCAGACCCCACCTACACCCAGCCCCCACCCACTTCCATTAACTATTGAACAGCAGGCCACCTGAAAACATCACTCTACAGAAAGAAGATGGTAGAGGAGTTAAAATATCCTGTTCTGTTCAGAAAGAAGTTGACTTCAAGGATGTGGAGATAAGGTCACAGTTACTGAGAGTATTTACATAATGCTAGAGGAGCAATATGTGGCAATGACCAAAAAGAACTAGACCATATTTCCTGTAAAAGGGAATTCAGAAGCAGGGAATAAGAAACTAGAGAAACTGCGAAAACATGCTGGTTAGGATAAACCGGTATGCTATTGCAAGTGGATTACAACTTAAAGGAATTCTTTAACAAAACAGGGCTTCATATTGAGTGGGTTGGAAGAGGGATGGTGCAAAGGGGAAGATTTAGAACCTTGCTGAGACTAAAGAGATTTGAATAAATAAGTGAGGTGAATTTATATATGTATGTATGTACACACACACACAACACACACACACACATATACTCCCAGTAAGGGACATTCTCCTTCCACCAAGATGCTTGTCAGGGTATGGGAATATTGCAGAACCAAAGACAATGATAATAATGTTAATAGCAATGTCCTTGTGAGAAACAGTATCATTCAAGATCCAGTGAATTCATAGCAATTACTTTATTTGAAAATGCTTTAAAGGTGATTATAGTCACATTATTTTAAAAATGATCTCAATATTTGGAATCTGAATCAAAAAGGATGGTCTTGTAGAATTTGTTGTTTGATTCCTTGTCTCAAACCCTTCTTCAGATTTAAATAAAATAGCTTTAGAACAAAGTAACAAGTTTGCATTTTCTGTATTAAAAAAAGAAAAACATGATATTTAAATCTTACAGTCAAAAAAACCCCTTTAAAATGGAATACCACCTTTTTTTTTAACCAGTTCAGTTCAGAACAGATTCTTTGCTTATGATAGAAAAAGCAGATCTCAAATCAAGATGAAATGCTGCCAATACCGTCTGTGTCAGTGGTTTATCGAAGCAAAGTCGGCATCAGACTTCATCCACCTTCGGTTCACTCAAAGCCACTTCACTTCCTATCCAGGTGCTGAACCCGCTCCTACACAAACACTCAGGGGTTTTATTGTTTCTACATAAACACTCAGGGGTTTTATTGTTAAGAGCTTTTCAGTGGATGGGTATTCTATTCGCATCCCTCTCAGGAAAGGATACTTGAGAGAGAGAGAGAGAGACAGAGAGAGAGAGAGAGAGAGAGAGAAGAGAGAGAGAGAGAGAGAGAGAGAGAGAGAGAGACACAGAGACAGAGAGACAGACACAGAGAGAGAAAACTCAAGATCTTACCCCAACCTAGCTATATATCTCCCTGTGCTTCACTTTGTATTTCAGGAGTCTATCAGAATATATTTAATTTGACTTGTGGAAGGAGATGAGTAGGGCTACAAGGGGGGGCTAGAGGGTGTGCTTAAGGCGAGGAATTAAAAACAAGAATAACAAAAACAAATTTGTTTATCCCCCGGGGTTTCCATTATCCAGCCTCAAGGATAGATACTGGCTTATCTTTCCGAAATTCAGATTAAACAAAAGAAAAGTCCTTAAAGAGGATGGCATTAAACCAAGTTGCACGTCTGTACAAAAAAAAACAAACCAAAACAAAAAAAGACTATGTAGTGGCATAGGGGAAATGGGAAAATGTCCCTGTGCTGTAAAGAAAGTGCCAGAAAGTCGGTTAAGTCTGATTCTTTGTGTAAGAGTATTTAACAAGACGTTACGACAAATGAGGGCACCAATGAACCTGTTTACTGTGCGTAACAAACGGCTATTTCGTATTGATTTGGAGCAAACACGAAACTTAAAAGTTTTTTTAATATAATAATAAAAGTTCTCTTTCATGTGGAAAATCATCTAATAGAAATCAAGAAGTGAAGCAGGAAACAACAAAAATTATCCAGACTGGACCTTATCTTCGGATCCTAGTGCTTCGAATTGTCTCAGCAACTTGCTTAAACCATTTTAAGATTGTATTTCTTTTTCAGAAACCAGAAACTTTAGGATAAAATTCCAGGTAACCCCAGTCCACCTCCTCTCTTATGTATTTATTATTCACAAAATCCAACAACAAAAGTTGTCCGTGGATAAAATTATGATAAGAGCTAGACACTTTTCCGAAAGGAGAGTGGGTGGTTTGGGGTGACTTAACCTTAGACTAAGTTGGTAGCGTTTCAAAGCGGGGTAATTTCATAATAAGAATCCTCTCTTAGCTACCGCATACCATATAAAAGGAAAAACAGCCAGGCACCACAACCATGACCCTCCCCAAACACACACAATAGGTTTTTGATAAAAACCGCTTCTGAGGGAACTGAATAAAATAAGTTCTAGTTATCTCCGCTTTCCTATTAAAATAGTGAAGATGGGGGGGGGAAAGAGTGCAGAGGTACTGAGTAAAACCAGAGGAGGAGGTAAAGGTATGGGGGGGAGGGGGAGGAGGAAAGAGGAAGGGGGGGAGAGAAGAGAGAGAGAAGAGAGAGAGAGAGAGAGAGAGAGAGAGAGAGAGAGGAGAGAGAGAGAGAGAGAGAGAGAGAGAGAGTCCAGAGGTGCCAAAGTGACAGATCGAAACAACGCCTCATCACGTAAAACTGTCTCCGGACCTTCCTCCTCCTCGGCCCCACCCCACATACTGATCCTTGAGGACCAACAGGAGGGGTAGTCTAGGTGGCTGGTCTGACCTGGTCGAAATAGATGGTCATGGTGCGGTTGCTCATTTCCGATGGTTCATGGTTGGTGCTCCGAATCGCAGAGAACGCCACCTTCGCGCTACCAGAGCGCACAGAGATCCCCAGGGAGGAAGTTACTGCGCCGTCCGCGGACGGGCTGGAGTCGCACACCACCAAACACTTGCCCTCCAGGACGATGGGCTCTGTGTCGTTCTGTGCCCGCACCGGGCAGCCTGCAGGCAGCAGCAGCAGTAGCAGAGCCAGCGCCGCCACCAAGCAGTAGCAGCAGCCCGCCGGCTCCCGCAGCGCCCCCCGCCGCCTCAGCCGCGGCATAGTCAGTAGTGGCCAGCAGCAGTCCCGGCGAGGCGCCGGCATTGGGGCGCCAAGAGGGGGGAAGGAAGGCGGGGATAGGGGAGGGGAGGGGATCAGAAAGAAATGGAGAGTGAGGAGAAGGTAGGGTGGGGGGAAGTGGGGAGGGGTGGGGGCTGAGTTGCTCTACTTGATGCTTCTCTCCTCTTTTCTTTTTCCGAGAAGCTTCGACCCAGGGTGGTGTGGGAACAGCTAAGGAATGGGATGGGGGAGGGGAATGGAAGGGAGGGGGTAAGCTTCTCTTCTCTCCTCCCCTTTTTTTTCGAAGGTCTAGGCAAAAGAGAGTCCTCAGAAAGTAGTCACAATCCAACCTGTGAACGATAAAGAAGGAACAAAACCTATAGATAAAGATAACAAGAATGAAGAAGAGAGGGAAAAACAGGTGAGGGAACATTCCCTTAGCATTCCCTCCCAGGATGCACATTTTTTTTTGCTCCCATACACTGATCCCGGAGATTCGGAGAAACATCCAGATAAACGGAAAATATACCACTAACTGCTTCCCATTGTAAACGAGTGTTCAGGGTCCCCCTCCCTTTTATTTTTCTGTCACTTTGGCTAGTCAACGCTAACCTACAATAGCCTCTTCCCTGGCCCTTTACACCCTTCTCCAGAAAGAAGAGAGGGAGTCTCAAGAAGAAGGCTTTACATTTTCTGAGATCTATATTTCAGTACAATTGCATCTTGAAATCAACACCACGGAACCCTTTTCTTTTTCTCTTATCTACTTATGCCCAGTTCTTTTGTTGTTATTTTGCTTTTTTTTTTTTTAACAAATAATCCTAGCAAATCTTTAGTAAATCTTTTATCTTTTTTTCCCTCCAAAGTATAGGTCTCAGGCACTCGTTAGAATGGATATGATGAAAAAGAAAGGGGAGGGGGAACTACCAAATTAAAAAAAGTCTCGCCTCGTAGTGTTCCATTAAAATTAAAAAGTGATTTGAGAATGTCATCACTACCTTTAGCAACTCCCTTACAAGATTTCCTTGTTTCTTCCCCCAACAAAAGCGCAAGCGGACCAGCCACTGACCTCTGTTTCCAAGCTTTTCTGAGCTTGTGCTTCAAACCTTCAAGCTCCCTCTTTCTTGCTCTCACCCTCTCTGGAATTCTGGAGAACCCATCCCCCGTTACTGACAACTTATGCTTCGATTTGCACTTTCAACCTGTTTCTTTAGCTTCTGGGTTTGTATGTGGATCCATTTTTAACCTAGGCTGTCATTTTAATACATTGTTGAGGAATGAAAAGGGAAGAATTCCTCCTCGCCGCTACGTCCGCCCAGCAACTCTTCCAGTATTCTTTCTAAGAAAGAGAAGTTGCTTCTCAATTGTTACTCTTTAACTTGAGTTCCCATAAAAATGATTTCAATTATTTCCCCAGACTCTGAAGACTGGGAGTGTTTTCCCATGGTGGTTCTCATTATATATATAAATAAATAAATTCACGAAATAGGCAAAAAGATCCAGAAAAGGGAGGGGGGAGGAAAGGGTGCAAGGGGTGGATCTTGGTGTATTATTTACCTGGCAAATCCATGCTAGGAGAAAACTGCTGGCTAGGTAGCTGTCCGTAAACTTGTATTGCTTAGAGAAAATGAGCCGAGATGGTGCTGGCAGAAGAAGAGGAAACCAGAGTCATCTCATTCTCTCCCGCCCATTGCCAATAACCTACCCTTCTCTCCCTCCCTTCCCCTTTTACACACATATACACGCACCCTCATGGCCTCAAACATACTGTACACACGTACACATGCTATACACTACACAAAAGGGCTACTTCTTATCCAGCCGACCTCTGGTTCTTATCCAACTGGCCCTGGGCTCCCCGCAACATGTCCAGGTAGCACATATCCTCCGGAACCCCCTCTTCAGTTTTCTCAAGGGGCCAGTCCCTCCAGTTTCCTGACTGCATTGAGAACAGCTGGCAAACGCCCTGCAGTAGCAGCAGCAGCATAGTCTCTGATGGTAGCCACCGCCTCCGCCTCCCACCTTCCAGTCCCAGCCCCTCCCGGCACCCCCAGGGTTCGACTCTCACCCAAATACTCGGATCAGAATCCTCCCAGAACTTGCTCTATTTTTAAAGTCGTCCCCAAGAAAGGCACAAGAAGATTCGGTTCTCTCATTCCTTTTCGATTCCTTCTTTTCGTTTTCAAATCCCCTCCAAGTTTTAACCCTGAATTGTAGGACAACTTTCATAATAAAATATTGTCTTTTTTCAATAAAGGGAAGTCGAGGAGAATTGAGAGGAATGGGGAGCAGGGAAGAAAAAGGCACAGGATTTTGCTGGCTTAAGCAAAATATTTGGGAATCCCGAGCCTGGGAAATATCAGATCTTGGCAAGGTTTGAAGAGGCGGAAGCTGCCTGGGTTCATGTGTCTGCTGCTCGGAACATTCGGACTCATTGTGCGCGCTGGCAGTCTCCGTTTATTTGTTAAAAAGCCTGTTCAGAGCTCTCTCAATCTGGGGACCCACACCAAGCTTCTGCGGCTGCACCTGGAGGCGCAACGCCACACTCTAAACATGGACGTGGGGCGCCACCTAGGGGTTCCGTTTCATATCCTGGCTTCCATCGCCTAAGCAAGGGAGCTCCGATAGAGGATGGGAAAAGTACTGAATAGAAATGGGAAAGGGGACCAGAGAATAGGGATGGGATTTGTTAGTTGAATTATTTGACGGGGAAACTATGCTTGGACATTTTTCAGAAAGACAAAAAATCTACATCTTTAATTACTTTTCCCTCATTCCCACCCCTCCCACCCCCAATTGGAACTGCAACTTTTAATTTTTGCAGTTCCTTACACCTTTCCAAGGCTAATACTGGCAAGATGTTACGTATATTACAATCAAGGTTATCATCAGTTATTATTGTCTGTAAAACGTTTACACAGCTCAGAGGGCTGGAGGTTGTGCCAGGTCAAAGCAGATCAAAAGATTAATTTAAATATGAACTCCTCTAAACTGGATTTTTTTTTTTACAGCTCATTTAAGAGAACCTTGGTTGCCTTATATTTTAGACTGTTTTAATGAGACACTATTCAGAAATTAATCTATTATTCTCCTGCAATATGAAGACAAGCCATATTCATAAGGGCATAGTCTCTCTGTTTGTTTCCTTGATTTCACATGTGAGTAATCATTCTCCCGGTAGTGCCAAGTAATGTGGTGGACCACCCCACTGCTTATACATAGGTGTTTTAAGTAGAAAGTTTGAGGGTCCCTTTCTATTTAGCCAGAAAATGAGTAGCCTCCGACTTGCTGTCATACTCAGATCATACAAGTGACACACTGGCAGCTACTGAGTTGTAGGCTCTTTCTGAAGCCCCTGTGCTTGTGTAATTACTTAAGATGCGCAGTATAGAAAATCATCAGGTCAGCCCTCTGTACCATGCTCCCATCCAGGAGCCTTTAAGTAAACATTCACTTCAAATCAGTTCCATTAGGATGAACCTGTAAGGATTGCTAGCAGTTGAAAGCTGTTATACCTGTTATGCAGTAAACTGAAATAGGATGATTATAAAGGCTGGGGGGGGGTGGAGAACACAAAATTACCTGTGAGGGTATAAATTCTAAAAATGCACGTGATGTTGAGCATTTCACCAGTATTTTAAAATACCAAATTCACCAGATGTTAAATACTGAATTCAACATTGTTTACTATACTTCAAGGATCTGTGATTTTCTTGATATGGGAATCCATCCTACATTTTTTGCTTTGACAGTGGAAAACCTGGATTTGTATTTTCATCATAAAAGAGAAGTCTCCCTGGGGAAACACTCTTCATTGATTCATATCAGATTAGTAACTAGTCTACAAGGATGTCTTAGAGATTTGGGGACTGAGACTTTAAGTAATTTGCCCACAATCAATATGTGTTTCTAAGTCTTAAGGTTAACCTAGGTCTTCCTGTACACAAATCTAGCTCTTCATCCAAATGCCATCCTCTTTGTTTTTTCACCTGTGCCTCTCATAAATATTGATTGCTACAAAAAAGATTAATGCAAATCCATTTTAAATTGCCAGAGACTAGTTTCTGTTTGTGGTAAAATTTAAAACAGGGCCAAAGGCAACAATTGTGGTTTTTTTTTTCCTGTGGTTATTTTAATTTAGAAATTTCAGTTAATATTTTTAATTATCTTTTATTGACAAAAATGACACTTTTACTAATGAGATAGGGTGATCAGAATATGCAAAAAAAATGAATGGCAAGGACACTGGTCACATGATGAAAATTTAAAGCACAGACTGATGCTAAATTTGATTAATTTGGAAAAGCTAGTTAGGAAGAAATATCTTACCTAGCCATTTAACCTTCAAAAACATCTCTATTAAACTCATTTTAAAAACACAATGCTGTAAACATTCATTTTTATGAATGCAAAAGTATATTCTTATGGAACAAATTAATATCATCACTTTTGTTAAATAACCCTTTTTCTTTGTGACATTGAAAGCTTTTTCATTATGAAAGAAATAACCTAAATCTATGTAGACTACTAAATTATGGAGTGAGAGCAATACATATTCTTATGTAATGAAACAAACAAACAAAAAAGCTGATAGGCTTAATTTTAGGCCTGAACATTTTTAAGGGAAGCTATTTCTTCAGAAAGATAAGAAGTAATCAGTTAAGGAAGCTAGAGCTCCATTTATTGTCCCATTTACAAAGAAAAGATAAATTAGAGGAGTAATTATACATTCAGTTTGGATGTACAAATTCTGGTGTGTATGTTAAATTTGGTCTCTTTAGTTTACACAATGATATTTTGATTAATAAAACTCTTTTAAGCTCATTTATATTGCAATTCAGACAATGACTGAACCATATCACACTCTACCTTGCCTTAATTTGCTGTTACTAGGAATACAGTATTTAAAAGAGTAGCAGTAAATGTGTAAATTACTAATTCAAAACCTGAAAACTGAAGCATTTACATCTTGATCAAATAGAAGTCAACAAGTATTTATTAAGCACCTTTTATGTGCCACGCCTTCTGGTAAGCCCTGCAGGAGGCAAAACAAACAAACAAACAAAAAATCCCATCCCTGTACTCATAACTAATTAAGGAGACCATATGAAAATAATGACGTACAAAAAAGTTACATACATGATGAATTGGAGACAAGCAAAGGTACTCAAATTAAGGGGAACTGGGAATGGGGACTTGAAAAAGGCTGGATTTTGGGCTGGGTCTTGAAGGAAGTCAGGAAAGCCAAGAAGAAGAGATGAGGAGTGAGAGAATTCCAGACATGGAAGACAGCCATTGAAAATACATTGAATGAGGGATGGAGTATTGTGTTAAAAAATCTGTAAACAGGCCAATGTAACTGGATGGTAGCAAGGGAAAGCAGACTAGAAAAGTAGGACAAATCTAGGTTATAAAGGGCTTTAAAAGTCATTCAGAATGCTTTCTATTTGATCCAGGAAGGAATAGGGAGCCACTGGAATTTATTGAAGAGGGTAGGGGTGGGGAGAAAGTGATATTGTCAGTCCTAAACTTAAGAAAGACAAATTTAAGAGCTTAGTGGATGATGAAGTGAAGAGTGCCTTGAGGCAAAGGGGCCAACCAAAAGCCTATTGCCCAAGCCTGAGGTGATAAGAGTTACCTGCATCAAGGTGATAGCAGTGTCAGAAGACAGATGAGAATGTATATGAGAGATGTTATAAAAGTTAGAATCAACAGAATTTGGCAATTGCTTGGATCTGGGGGGGGTAAAAGAGATTGAGAATTCAAGAATGACACCTAGCTTTCAAGTTTGGGTGATTGGGAGGATAGTGTTGTCATAAGTAGAAAGGGGGAAATATTATATCATACATCCTAACAAAATGAAATCAAGCAGAATGCTATGATTCCTCTGTGTACTTATAAAGTTCTTATGTTTTTGACTTTGTCTTTTCTTTATACCCTTTTCTGTTTATAGTTGTACTTATTGGTCAAACTCTTCTAATTTTTGCTCATCTAAATTTATATTGTATATATATATTTACATATACATATAAACACATATATGTGTAGACATATGGAATATACGTGCATGTATTAATCAATCAATATGCATTTATTAAGCACCTACTGTGTGCTAGACACTGTGTTAAGCATGGGGACACAAAAATAAGTACGAGATGGTGCCTGCCTTCGGGGAGCTCACAATCTATTGAAGGAGTCAACAAGTAAATAAAAATGTACAAACCAGCTATATATAAGATGCTGTTTAGTTGTTTGTGACTCTGTGATCCCATTTGGGGCTTTCTTGGCAAAGATACTAGATTGGTTTGTCATTTCCTTCTCCAGCTCATTTTACAGATAAGGAAACCGAGACAAACAAAGTTAAACAATTTGCCCCAGGTCACGCAGCTAGTAAGTGTCTGACATAATACTTGAACTCAGATCTTCCTGACTCCGGGCTGGGCACTCTATCCACTACTATATCTCATTGCCCCATATGTAATATTAAAATGAAAAAATTAAAAGAGAGAAGGCACTAGAATTAAGAGGAGTTGGGAAAGACTTCCTATAGAATATGGGATTTTAGTTGGGACTTAAAGGAAGGAAGACAGTAAGCAGAGATGAGGAGGGAGATTGTTCCAGGAATGGGGGAGAAAATGGCCAGAGTCTAGAGATGGAACATATTGTTAGAACAGAAAGTACATCAGCATTGTGGGAAGGGAAAAGTAAAATGTAAAAAGAGTAGAATGGTCGGAGGGGTCAAGGCTATGGTCATGTTTCATTTCATCCTGGAGATAATAGGAACCCATTGGAGTTCATTGAATAGGAGGGTGAAATAGTTGAACCTGTGCTTTAGGAAAATTAATTTGGTGGCTGAATGGAGGATGGATTGGAGTGCAAAGAGACTTGAGGCAAGCAAATCCACTAGTAGACTACTGTAATAGTAGAATACTGTAATAGCATGAGTTAATGAGGGCTTTCACTAGAATGACAGCAGTGTTAGAGAAAGGAGGTATATTCAAGGAGTCTTGCAAAAGTGAAATGAACAGGACTTGCCTACAGATTGTATATGGGGGATAAGAAAGAGTAAATACAGAATGATATCTAGTAGTGAAATGAGGGCTCTGGAGGATGGTTATGTCCTCTACAGTGATAAGAAAGTTAGGAAGTGAGGAAGGAAAGATAATATACTTATATAATTATTATTTGTCATTTTCAGCTCTATTATGTCCCATTATATTAATATATCATAATTTATTCTTCAATTAGTTGATTCCAAATTTTTGCTATTAGAAATAAAGTAGCTATCACTATTTTGTAAGCAATAATTTCTTTTTTTTCTTTTCCATGACACATTTAATATATAATCTCAAATATGGAAAATATATTATCTCAAAAAAATCAAAGGTTTGTTTAATTTTGTGATTTGAGTATATTCTAGCATAAGTAATTGGTGCATTTCGTATCTTCTTCTGCCTGTATATTGTGAATTTTTTTCAGGGCAAGAAATAGT